TTTCGTTTTATTTTTACTTATAATTTAATATATATATTTAAGAATATAAAGAATTGAAAGATTTTTTTAAAATTAATTATTAAAATTTTGTTAGATTATAATTTAAAAAAAAAACATTTTTTAAAAAATATTAATTTTAGATAGAATAAAATACAATTTTTTATTAAAGAAAATTTTTTTAATTATATAATTTATTTAAGTTTAGTAAGCAAAAAATATCAGTTTAATAATAAATTACTATTTTTGAACTTTTTAAAAAAATTTTAAAATTAAATTACAAAATAAAAACTTAATAAATTATATTGAATATATTATTATATCTTTAAGAATCTTTAAGAATTTTTTTTATATATCAAAAAAAAATTATTTTTATTTTTATTTAACTATTTTTAAAAAAATTTACTATAATAAAAATCCATTCTCCAACTCTTTTTTATATAAAGTTATATATATAAATTTATAAAAAATTTTAATTGGTTATTTTTTTTAACTTTAAATCAAATTTTTGAAAGAAATTATTAATTAATTATTATTGAAACTCAAATATTTTTTAAATTAGGTTATAAATTATATATATTTAAATTTTTATTTTAATTAAATAATTATTTATTAAAACATAATAAAAGATAAAAGGGCAAAAAGTTTTGTCTCAAACTGTATATGTAGTATCATATAAAATTGCTTTCAAATTCATAAAAATAAATTCGCCTTATTAGACATACAGATGCCAGGTACATAGAGAATAAAATACAGAAAAAAACCCCCATCATTTATTAGTTTTCGTATGTCGTTTCTTATTTTCGTTCTCATCACACTTTGTAATCTTATCCCTTAATAAGCCCACAATTATACCAATTATTGTTTTAACACCCTTCCTGATTGATTCAAGATCCTCATTAAATGCCGTTTTCGCTTTTGCTGATACAATATTAACCTTCGGTAGCGAGTTTAATAAGTTTAATAAAATGCCATTCCGTAGCTATGTAGAAATAAGATAACAATAATCAGAAAGTATAAAACAAAATTTACGTCAGAGACACTAACTTATTCATCATCATCATTTTGAAACGCTTGATCCGCCGTACGTTTTTTCTTATGTGTGATATGCGCTATCAAGTTGCATGATATTCTGAAGATAACTGATTTCGACATTACGGGGCCTTCCTTATGCTATACACACAAGATCCTCTTTCCTTTGATAGCGTAGTCTACACGTCCGGATGTCTCCTCGCCTGAAACAGGTCTTAGTATATGTATTTTTTCTTTGGTAAACCTTCGGGCGATGGCAAGTGACGCATTTAATATAGATGTGATAAATACACAGCGAGTTGCTTCGTTTGCATTGTTTTGCATCGTCTCTAAATTCGTAAGTCTTAACGTTATTTCATTCATGCATTGTTCGAGGGCTTTATTATTATCATCAATTTCCTCGAAAACTACTGTATATAGCGAAAAGGTAAATTATCATATATCTTGAATTTCGAACGCTTGGCATAAAAAAAGTAACACGTACCTGGATTAAATTGCTTGATATCGGTAATCTCTTCACCGTTTACTTTATACTTGCGGAGAACGTCCTTTAGCTCTTCCAATGTTTTGTAGGAGGAGAAGCTTCGGATTTTTTGTTCTTTGAGGCTCTCTTAAATCCGTAGTTACGAAAATCGTCCTTGGTCATATTTAAAAAAGCAGACCGGAAATTCTCTCATTGCGGAAAATTTTGAAATCCGCATCTATGAGATCTAAGTCCTCCTGTCTTTGCAGGTAATCGATAAGTTCTTCCGTTTTATATTTCTTGATTACGACTTCCATCGTACGTGTTATCTTTTCTTCTTCAGAGTAATACGAAGATGAGGAAGTTTGTGAAGACATATTTTTTATATTGGTATATGGGGTAAAAAATCTGGTTTATGCACTGCACTTATGAAATGAGATAATGTAATATAGATTTTCGTTTTGGGGTGAATCGTTGACCTTTTACGGTATATTAGTTTGATTTGCGAAAAGTTACACTAGAGAGGTCAGAAGGTATAGATTCAAAAGCTACATACATAGCAGTTTTTGATAAAAAAAAATCTGATAAGGAACAGCGAACTCTTCCACTTATATCCTTTTCAAGTTTTATTTGCACTGGGAAATACTTCTATGGTGATCCACGCATGACATCACCCCTGTAACGTGATATGATTTAATATACGTTGAAGAGATATTTTATACTGTATATTCGAATATATCTTCTCCAAAATTATAAAAATCTAGAGGGTTTCCATAATTATAATCTTCAATATTGGACAATATCGCATTTCTAATTCTTTTACTGAAAACCATATTTTTATTTAGCATATACTGTATATTTCTACTTTTATGAGTTCGTCAAATATTGTCAATGCATTATTATATATGGGCTCAATTTCATTATCGTTCATATTCGTTTTTCTATGGCATCTGTCTAGTTTCTCCAATAAATCATAGTATTTTGTATTAAAGTTTTTACGCCTCTTATAAAGCTCATGATAGATTTCTTTATACCATGTGCGGTTAATTTGAATACAGTTATCTAGATCCTCTAATAGAAGTTTTGTGACGATTTCAGCAATAGTGTAAGCGGGTTATATGTATGCATGTTTTATCTAGCGTATGGATTTTTTATAATAAGTCTAACGGTTGTGTATATATTTACTTATATAATCTTTTTACGTTAAATAATTATTTAGAATTTAGATAATACCGATCTTGAGCATGTTTCATTAATGTGCCACCTGGTTGATATAGCCATTTAATTATTGCATGCTGAATTATTTTAGCTGATTTTATTCATTTTTTATACCATGAACGAAATTCTTTCTGAATAAGTAATACAACTTGTTTTATAATAGAGTATAACATTGTGTTACTGAATTCTGTTCTAACATGTTAATTTAAAAATAAAAAAAAGTTTCTAATATATTTAGGAAGTAAGTTATCAAAATTTATTGGTATTGGGGCTTAAGCTTAATTAGCATAGCTCTTTTTTCTGCATTCTCAGGTGACATACCAGATGCTACCATTCGTTTATAGGCATAAATTCGCCAATGCCCATATGGAAGGGTTCGAATTCCATCAAGTAAAATCCAGCGCTTATTACCACATGGGTTTAACCCGATTTTATTTACCTTCTCTAGATATATTTGATGATCATAACTGCGTAGACCATAAATATTATGCCGAGTTAGTTTCTTATTTCTAAGACATTCTAAGAATTTGTCATGCCTAGGTTCTCGTTTGACCACGCATTTCTTTACACCCTTTGCCTTTTGCATTCCGTGCTTTTTCTGCCAGTCTTTTATACCTTGAGATTTTTTAGATTATTCCTCCTCTAACTCTTTTTCGAAATCTGCACTCGTTTCAGGAATTTTTGGGTCATGTCCGGCTGGAAGAACTGAGTACATTTTTGGTTTTAATCATACTGTTTCATCTATTGACTCTCCATTGCATTCATCTTTCATTAGAAATAAATCTCCAGATTTTTTAAGATCGAAAATATCATGCCTTTCTGCTCGATCTTTATAAATGTCCTCTGTTTCAATCCACATGATAGGAGAATCTCTGTCAGTATAAAGTAAACGGGCCTTGTCACCATAGCGAGGCTACATATAACCGTACCAAAAGTTATACATCATAACTTTGCTAATATCAAGAATCGCTTGTCCTACAAATATTGGCTTATTTAGAGTTATTGTACTTTTTAACATATGGACTGCTGTAATTCCCCTTTTGTATGCTTTAAAACCTACATGCAATGGTGATCTCACTAAACATTTAAGCTTTCTATTCTGATCTAATCGAAGTAATTATACTCTCATATGTTTCCGAACATTTTCCATCTGTTTTCCAAATACAGCATTATTTTTTAGTTTATAGTACATAACCCCAAAATCATCTTCATTAGCTTTGGCAATTTTCCTTTTACGAATATTTTCCTAGATATAGTCTTTTATCCATGGAGATTGAAGAAATTTGAGAGCACCATAAATCTTTGTAACCTTCATTCCAAATTTTATATATGCCTGGAGAGCTCGATAGTGAATTACAATTTTTCTTGGGTAAGAGGGTTTGTAAGGCTTTTCTCCTGATGTATATTTTCCACCTCCTACTTCCTTATCATGTACTAACCTTTCATTATATGGACTAAGCCAGTTTTCCGGTACTATTTGTTTTTCCGGTGCTAATGGATGATCTGCAAAGAAATCTTGTATGTTTATGGGTGCTTCTAATTCAACTTCAAGCATATACCGATTTCTGCATCAGGCGCAATACTTTGAATATCTTGTATTTCCTCTGGACCTACCTTACCTAAAATCTCTTTGGCATATATTGCGTCAATGCACCTTAATATAAGGCGTTCATATATTCATACATAATTCAAGACTTCGGTTTGCTAGGATTATAATCTGAACATTTTTCATTATTAGCTTTAGCATATCGATGACTTACCATTGCCATTCCTCCACGAATTCCATTCTCTACCATTAAATATTGATCCATATCGCTCATGAGTTTAGTTCTGCTCTACTACTTTGTATAGCGAATCGTTGAACATTCCTGGTGCTGAGACGTAATGAGAAGGATCCAAGCCATCATCTTTTAGACACATAATGGTATAGTTCATAAAAACATCTGCAAGTACAGTAAAAGTACATCTGTTTCAAGATATAAGTCGTGATATTCTCCAAAATTTTTTATTCCAAAACGTTTGCCAAACGTTTTGTGCATGTTCACAATCAGATTTGCTAATATCTTGTTGATAGAATAGAGAATAGAAATCCTTTCTGCGTGTAAGATATGGTTGTTTGAATTTTTCCCATGAATTTGTCCATCATATGGAAAAACACCCTTTCGAATTAAAAGTTTTATCTGATCTAGTGAATATCCCTTTTTAGCTTACTGTTAGAGGGAATTTTTCTAGTGTTTTATCTAAACATTTAACCAGTTTATCAAGACCCATGCCATATGTTGAAAACTATCTAGAAATCTAAATTGACCGATATCCATAGCCTTATATTTCCCAATATTCTCTGGGATGCACTTAAGCTTGTCGGATGTAAATATGCCAATAACTTCTATAAGCAAATGAGAATCGTATCCTCGGAAATTATGGCAGATTAATGGTATCTTGGTTTCAAATGCACCTATCGCAACTTTTTATTGCATGCATCATGTGCTGGGCCTCGGGATTTTCCGCTAATATGATCATGGTCTTTTCTTTGCGATTAAGTTTACTCAATGCCTCATAATATTTATTTCGCACATCTTTCATTTCGGGGTGTTCCTTATTCATACATATTTCACATTCTTCACATTCTAGCAAACGATGCTTTGCTTCCTCAAATTGCTGTAAAATTTCTGGTGCTGGCTTATTGAAAGCCTTTTTGCAAATCCAGCATTCGGTTGCTTCATTGTATACCTTGTAGTCTCCGGGTTCCATGATTATTTTAGCAGGTGCTGATAAGTCTATCTGGATTTCTAAGAGTTCTCTTTCTATGGCATTAACGAATTTTTCCAAAGCGTCAGGCCCCCTATATAAATCATAGCTTAAGACTTCGTAATTCAGAGAACTATCCATGCGAACAACTACATAACAACAACCACATGGCATATGTCTTTTAAGCTTTTCTGTTCGTGTCAATTGAGCTTCCTCTTCTGAAGTTAGCTTTTCTGTTAGGCATTCAAGATCCCAAAATATACGATATGGATTTGGTCGCATACATTTGTGATTACGAAATTATTTAACACTCTTATCTAATGTGAAAACATTTGGTCTTTGCGGAGCATTATTTACTCCTTTACAATTTTGGGGATTTGCTCTATGTTCATTAAATCATTTTTCTATAGAATATACACGAAGGCAGAAACGGCATGGATATTTTCTTCCCTTATGTTTACTATTATTATATACTAATCGATGTAAATCTTTAATAATACAATAATAGGATTGAGAGTTTTCCAGGTCTTCCGTTTCTGTAATAACTAATAGATTTACTTCTTTAAAATCTGTTACTCTTCTTTCTGATAAATAACGAAAATCTAGGCATTTATTTTGGTTATGCCATTCGTATTTACTGTACAAAGGCTGATATTAAGATTATTTTCTTCGAATTTTTGATAAACTGGTGTTGAAACAGGTACTGGAACTGGAATGTCTTCCATATTAAGCTCCTCTAAAGCTCCATATAGGCGATGAGAATTTCTTTCTGGATGAACTTTAACCGGATGCAATATTCCTAAGACACACCATCCAAACACCAGTCAGCATCATTTTGAATTTTTATAATACCATTATACCGTTTTGGTATTGTTTCGGGTAAAGGCATATGGCCTGTTAGACCAATTGGATTGTAATCAGCTATCTCAATACTAAATTCTTCAATTTATTCTGGATAAGCATCAGACATTTTATGTAGTATACTAACTCTAACTTTTGCGATATATTTTACTTATACAAATTCTTTTCTTTAAATAATTATTTTATATCCTATATTCAAAAATTATTGGTGAGTATTCATGCTCCTATCTTCATAATTCTGGAAAAACTTGTAATAGACTTTGCATTCGGCCTGAGGGTTGCCGTTTTCATTGGAAATCTAAAAAACGCGTTTCTTGTAGTTATTGTGGAAAACCTACTTGTTCAACTTCTGGACGTTGCCCATTGCACATCAGAGGGTATTACATTGCTCAATACTATAAAAGACTTCGATCAATAGAATCTGCAAATAATCAAGAAATAACTTATGAGAATATACAGTATATTGATATGCTAAATTTTTGGAATTTTTCGTTAGATTTTGCCTGCCTTCTTACAGTAATTGCTCAAAGTCAGAAAAATTTGCATACGTTTTAATTGTTCTAAAAGCTGTAACTAAAAAGGATTTCTAACATTAAAATGTGTTTGAAAATAGTTCTTGATATACAATTTTTGATTAGACTTTTTGAATTTTTTTCGTCAGATTTAGCTAAATAATATGCATTTTAACTTTCTAAAGACTATAGAAGAGTATAAAACAAATATATAATTTAATTTCATTTCATTAGATTTCAATAGCGAATAGAATAGCATAAAATAAAATCTAACCAAAATTAACGAAAATGACGAAGCAAAAACAAAATGCACGTCACTCGAATGACGAATCAAATGCAAAATGTAAGTCTAACCGAAATCATTATCGATTTTAAGCTCCAAAACCCTAAGGGGCAAATTGACTAGCGAAAAATTGTCCCAAAACCCCCAAAGTGACAATGTGTGACTCAGTATTTTCACCTGTTGATGGTTAACTATCATTTACCATTGGGTTCAAGGGCTTGAAATTACTAGACTCTGTTGTATAGACTTGTGTAGATTTTATACTCCAAGATAGTCATCGGCCATTAAGAAAGATATGTTGTTTGCAGGCTTACATTATATCCTCTCTAGTTTCAAAACAAATTACTATAAAGTTTTGTTTTTTTAAGATATACTGTATAAAGCTCTTGATATATAACATGCCTTGACCTTTGTTCTATTTAATGTCCTTGTCACTAAGCTTGAATATATTCTATTTGTATCTAGTAGTCTTGCTGTTCAGCTGTTTCTTCTTATCAAGATATCATTTGTCTCTTTATCAGTAAGTTTGTACTTTGATACAATCATTCTTAATATTTCAGTTTCCATCATTGTTATCCATATTTTTTCAGAATTAATCTTGAGATATTTATACTATATAATGTATACTTTTACTTTTGTTTTGAGTTTAATTTCATAAATATGAATATTTATAATATCACCATATTGCTTGAGATATTTTTTTATTCGAAAATAACTTGTTTTACAATTAACATCTATTATATTGATATATCAAATATCTTTATTTTCTTCAGGTATTGGATTTCCAAACATCTTTATGTTATCTTTACTATTGTTTTGCTTGGAAATATTTTTTTTTCACTTATTTCTAATTGTTGAATGATAATATTATCTTCTTTTTAATTGATTTCTTTCAAATATTTTATCAAGTCTTCTTCTTTATTAATTTTTTTTTTTATTTAACTGCAACTGGTATTAGATACAAGCACATTTTATTAAGAATTTACTTAATATCAAGGATCTTGAAAAATCCAGATATTGATATCAATTATCTCTTACAACTTATATATTTCTATATATCTGCAGATTAATGATAACCTATCGCGGTATTTCTAGATGAACCTACTACCACTCAGAAAGTGAGCAGACCCAACTAGAGGCCAAATGGTCAAATACACAGCTATCAATGGTGAGATAGGCTAATTTAGCAATAAGCTTGTTATAAATTTTTATTATATTGGCTAAACTAGGCTATATACTGTATGTACCCAATGGGATTAAATTATTACTCTTCAATACTTCCAAAGATATTATTCACTCAGACCTCAGAAGGGGGTACGTTACCTTCTTTGTCACCATTTGTGACATCGGATCAGCTTCATTTGACTAATTTTCATTTAAGTGGAGCACCAGATTGGGATATCCTGAGTTAGAAGGGTGGTTTGTGCTATGGAGTCTGCTGTGTCAGGGGGGTTATGGGCTTTTTATGGGAGTTAAACCAGAAGCCTTTCTTTATGTAACCTTTCTTGCTTCGACCTATTTTCAGTCCACAATCATCAGAAAGATCAGAGGTCCCATCTTTATGCTGCCTAACTAATTTTGGTGGAATCTGGATGATTGGGTATGACTTTCACAAGATAATCGGTAAACCTGATCAGAAGGGTATTTTTGATTTTTGGTCCTTAAGTGATATTGAACTACAGACCTTATGATTGTGACCTGGGAGCACTATCACTGTGCTATTGATCCACTGGTCTTTCTTCTTCTTTATTAATATAAAAGATCATCTATTTATTTCTATTTATAAATTTTCCTTATAAAAGTTTCTTTTTATTTTTGATGGGTTTCAAAATATTATCAAAATAAACATTGATATCTTTCTCTATTATATTTGAGATATTAGTAATCAAAACTTTTAACTTGAAATTTTCTTTTTTATAGATAAATATAGATCAATTGTTGTAGTTTTTATCTATTTCAAATATTATAGGATATAGTTTGATATATTATATTCCTAAATATTATCTTGATCAATTGTGATATCTATTTTCTTCTACTCTTAACTTTTAATTATTATTATCTTATTTTAAAATATTGACTTATTTTTTACAATTGTGATAATATTCATTAATTAATGATCTGTTTATTTTTTTTATTTTTTTTTTAATTCTCTATTAGGTTAGTTATATGTACTACATTAAACAATTGCAGACTTTACATTGATATATAATGTCAAAGCTAAATTTTTAATTAACTTACTTATCAAATTTTTTATTCAAAACTCTAAGTGTAACTTCAGAAGTAATTTATCAATCTGTCAATAGTTTAGTTAAAAACCTTTTTAACTTCTAACATCATCATCCATATATTACTATTGCAAATTACTTTTTAAAGTTTTAACAAAAATCAAAACCCAATCATTTCATTCTATATTTAATTTCATTTTTTATTATTTCTATAAAAACTTGTTTTTATTATCTCTTTTTTCTTCTTTTTGCCTTATAGTTTTATGATTAAAATTATTTTACAGCGTATCTTGCCTTTTTATCTTCTAAATCTTCTTATATTTCATTTTTCTATTGATTTATTACTCTTATTTTTATTCTATAATCTTTTTATATCTTATATTTAGACTTGTTTATAGATCTGATTACAAACTTTCTTTTGTACTCTTAGGATTTATTTTTTGCTATTGTTCCTAGCTTTTTACTATAATAATTTCAATTAGCAGCTTTTTTAATTATATTGCTTTCTACTAATTCTATATAAAAGTTAGGCATACTTGAACAAGTTTACAAAACTGTTTCTATAAATCTAAAGACTTATTTGTTTATATTATTTTTCTCTTTCCTACTATCAATTGATAGTTATATCACCTTTTTATTTACTTTCTTTTTTCTACCTTGGACAACTTATCAAATTCTTTAAGAATTGTTTTATATCTTTTTTGTAATGCTGCTATAATCTTGTTTTTATAATCAGGATATTTTAGTAGATGTTAAATTATCTCTTTTTGTTAATTGAATGCTATATATTTTGCTTACTTATATAGGTTAGATCTTCTTATTATTAACTTGTTTAAAATATATATTTTATCACTAATTAATTTAATCAAAAAACTTCTTCTTTGTAAATCTTTGAAGGAAATATCTCATTCATTACTATTCTTTAATCTATTCCATATTAGATTTTATAAATAGGTTTGATATTCTTGAACTTGGTAGTAGTATTTTATCTCTATTCTATATTGCTATATCTATAACAAGGCAGTTGATCTCTTGTTAATTTGTTTGATAAACTATAAAATTGAAGTATCTATTATATCTTTTTATCACAATATTTCAATAGGTAATTTACTTAATTTAAGGCTATTTCATTCTATTACTAAAAGTTTTAATATCACTTTTATCAAACAATCTGCTTTTTCACTAAATAAATTATTGGAATAGGCTTTAATTTTGATTAAAGTTAGTTAAATAAGCTTTTTTTTACAATATCTAGTATTTTTTCTATAATAATCAATTCTTTTCTTTTAACCATCTTTTATATATTATCTTGAAATCTTCTTTCTTGAGTTTTTTTAATTCGAAAATACAAACTTAACTATTAGTAAAAATCTCTACTATATTATTTATTGAAATTATTAAAACTATTATAACTAGTACTATCAATTCTACTTTGTAAATAAAAATTAATTTTTTACTTATATCTGAAATTTACTTTCTTTTTCAGTTTCTTTAGTTTGTATCTATACTGTTATCATTTTTGTATATTCATTTCCATGGTTAATTAAGGATCCATCAAAGTAGAAAGTCAATTTTTCTTGTGATTCTTGATTATGTTAAAAAATTTTGAGTATATGATCTTAATACAGTATATTCTTTGTTTAACATTGTTTTTAGATATTTTTTGTTTCCAGTTTTTTATTAGTACTTGTTACATTTTTTCAATTTAATCATTTCTTGAATCTTAAAATTCTAGAACTATACTTGTTATGGTCATTCTATCAAGCTTAAATAGAGAACAAGGAATTTTTAGAAATTGTTCTCTTCTGATATTTTTTAATGGTTTAGAAATAATATAGTATGTATTATATCTGATTCTATTTTTATATTATATTTGTTTCTATTTCTATTGTTTAGGAAGTATCCTAAATATTTTATAAGAATTTTTTCTAAATTATCTTCTGTTTTTGATAGTTTAAGTGAAAGATAATAGTTATACCTTGACTATTTTCTCATATTAGTTTTTTTT